CTATTTCGTAGTCCACCAACCTTACTTTTTCCTTAGAATCTAGTGAGGAGCGATTTGTAACCTTGATAAACATATTTATTTTATGCAGAAGCCGACAGTCAGCCTTCCATCATCGCAGAACAAAGTGCAATTTGGTAGAAAGCCATTTGGAAAGGCAATACCCGAACCAAGTCTGACCAGAGAGACAAAGTTTGTTCCTTCCTCAGCGATGCGCAGCAGCTTGGCTTCTGACGGACATGCTTCCTTGCTTAGTTCGGTCGAATTACGTCGACAGATTGAATTAGCTTGCAGCTTTGATGCCGAAGTGAAACCTGAGTCTCGGGTACCTAGGAATCCTTTCGATGGACCACTGGAGGAGAGGCAATTCGAAGAGATGATGGAAGAGGATCAAGAGGACGAGGATGCATACAAATATGAGGGCGGAATCACATTGACACCTAAGCTTTCTGGTATGTTGTCCCAAATAAATGTCTGTAAATTACAATGCTGTTATGTGTAGTGACTTATAAGCAGATTAGGCTACAATACAAAAATGGCTAGATAGCTTAAAGTCACAATGTACTAATTATTTTGAGTGATATAAGTTTGGTTACTAGGCTGAATCTTGTCTAACATTCACTATTAAATAATTATTCAAGTTGTATAGTAAGTCACTACATTATTGCTTTATATTTTAAACAAATGATAAAATGTATCCACACAACAACACGATAGATAAGTTCTGAACACCTTTGTAAGTTAGCTAGTCTAATTAAAGATTTAAGAAAGTATCATCAACTCTTTGGCAGGATTTTTCAGGGGAGACTTATCTCCATATATGATATGTGTTCACTCTACTTCGGTTAAGATGATGAAGGGTTGGTAGTTAAATTTTCCCACAATGATATGCGTAGAGCTGACATTTTCATTGAATTTCACATAGCCTAGCTTTCCTAAAAGGCGTCCCCATCCAGGGTTGATTGCAGTTTAGTCCTTGCATAGGTCGTATCAACACCCTCAGCGAGATTCTAACTATGACAGTGCAGAGTGTAGGGCAAGGCTATGTGAAATTCATTGGAAACATCAGCTCTGCTCATATCATTGTGAGAAAATTCAACTACCAGTCCTTCATCACCTTAAACGAAATAGGGTGAACACAACTCATATACCTGATTTAGGGGTAGTCTCGAAAACCTACTCAATAACGAAAAAAGACTTATCTCCAATTTAGCGATTGTCTCCCTGTTTCGGTGACATAATGCCGAATGATTGTCTACCACGTGAATTACATTTGTAGGTCTTAGTTATTTCTTTGTGCATGCAAATTATCGCAGACCAAGGATATTCTATGAAATTATAATGAGGAAAATTCACGATTATCGTAAATAAATGGCTCCAAATGAGGTTGGGTCTTTTGAAAAAATATGACTTGCAATGAGCATAGTTAGAAAGCATTTGCTAGCAGAGGGTTTGTAGAGTGCTACCAAACAATCATTTAACTTGAAGAATATATTCACGCTTAGGAATGAGGTTCTAAAGAAGTATTGCACTTTTAATATGTGTTCTCATTACTTTTGAAAATGTTTGATAAAGAGGTGCGTAAATCACCATAAGACGGTGACTAATTCTCTACGTTTTGATTTTATTCTGACGTTCAGGTTGACGCACCTAGCAAACGTCTTCCTTTTGTTTCGGTGAAATTGGGAATTACCCCAAGTAAAACTTAAAAAATTAAAAATCAAATTGCACTGTTATTTAGTCGAGGGGCTTCGTTTGAAATTTTTACTAAAAAAATTAAATTTTCTGAAACTCTTTTATTACCTTGGCTTTGTCTTTTCCTGCCTCAGCAGTTTTGAGTAATCGTAATTCCACAAACTGCCAAAAGAAAAACCATGCTTCACGTCAACATCTAGTCTGAAAGATCATAATGGCTTATCTTATGATTGGCTAGGGCCCAAGACTGCACATATAACAGATTCTATAGAGCTTCAGCCATAATTTCCATTAACCACTTGCTTCAAATTATCTTTATAAAGCTCTTGGTGAGGTTTCAAAAAAGTACACAAGTAAGTTTTTAAGATAGCATCTTATTTTGTCTCGGATTAATTTTAAACAATGTAAGCAGCACTTTTAATCGTTACTAAGAAGGTAAGCCGTAAATCCGTCAAAGGCAAAGTTAAACCAAAATGTAAAAGTGTAAAATCCTTAAAAAGCTACCTGATGCCAAATCATATAGATAGGATGTGTTAAGAATGATGAGTTCCAACGCCTGCAATCGAGGAATCATGCTCTAGTGGCTATCCGCCATATTTGAGATGTGTTCATCTTATTTCGTTTAAGGTGATGAAGAACTAGTAGTAGAATTTTCCCACAATGATATGAGTAAAGCTAACGTTTCAATTGAATCTCACATAGCATTGCTTTCCCAAAAGGTGTTCTCATCTCAGCTGCAGTGGACTGCAGTTTCGAACTCGCCTAGGTCTTATCCACACCTCCGGCTGGATTCAAAACATGAAAGTGCAGTGTGAAATATTGACACGTTAACCACTAAGCCATGGTGCCACATTGAAGTCCATCCTGGATGGGAACAACTTTAGGGAAGGCAAGGCTATGTGAAATCCACTGGAGACATCAGCTCTACTCATATCATTGTGGAGAAAATCAACTATCTGTCCTTCATTATCTTAAACGCAATAGTGTGGACACACCTCATATAACTAATTTACTGGTAGTCTCTAAAACCCACTTATGAACGAAAAATATCTGCCATGTAATTTTGAGAGGCACTTGAAAGCTTTTAATTAATTCACTTGCAGACACTAATTGCCTTGTAAACGTTGAGTTATTTATAAATATTGGATCTACAGGATAAAGCAACAGAGGGGAATAACAGGTGTATGGAGACATTTGGAGCGTTTCACATACGGCTTTGACTCACTCGGCAGAGTGATGGCCATCATAGTAAGATGAACAGGCAGGCTCAATAGTACTACTTCATTCTTATTTTCAGAGCTCAGAATCATAATCGAAGGTATGAAGACCAATATAGTGTGGCCTTTTGAGTGGTCGCAGTCTCCTTTCGTTGTATAGAAGTTGTTTGAACTTGTTTTCGCAACTTGGTTATATTGGTAGAACGACTTAGAGGAACGCACCTAATCCGGAGTCTATTGTATGCATGATCATTTCCAAAGTCGGACCGTAGACATGGTACATTCCCAGACGTTTCGCCGGAATCGTCAGTGAGTCTCGCCATTCTTAGCGCCACACAAAAACTCGTCAAAGAGGCAAGTGAAGCCGATCCTTTGACCAACGTGTGCTAAACAGTTGTGGTATCTCCCCTTCTGCCCTGGTCTCTTCACATTTCCTATATCCTCCCATCACACCTGCACTGTTACAATTTTTTTCTCTTGCTTTATTAAATCTAATGTGATGTGA